GGTGTAAGGCCTCCGCCGCCGTTTCACGAGCGCTTTAATGCACGTAGCTAGAAGTCCTTCTTTTCCGGGGCCCAGTGACTAAGCAGTTTTTGCCCGCCCTGTCATCACCCCTCTTCATAACTTGTGGCTTCCCCTGATTGGATAACCATCTCCTCCCGCCTCTCCTCTCTGTTTCTGCTTTCTTCCTCTATATAAACTCCAACACCTTTCTAATAAACGGAGTTCCAGCTTTGACCACGTGCCTGGTTCGGTGGTGTTCTTTCTCGGCCCCCGGGGAGGAAGATCCTGGGGGGGAAGGGCCGTGCCAGGGACACTCATCATCCTGCTCAGCCCCGCAAGGGACCCCCGGCTGGACCGGGGTCTCTTCCCGCTCGGTTTTGTTGGCCTCTGGCTCAGGGAGGCCCGACACAGAGGCACACAGCAGCTGAGGCAGGCACAGTGGGGAATCCATGTCTGACAAAGTAGCATTGGAGGCATCTTACAGTGGGGGGACGTTCTTATGTCCAGTGCCCAGTCAATGATGCCAGCTATAGTATCTATGTTTTGTGGCAGTGGGGTGTTACCTGAGCAGTACCTTAATGAGGTTTAGACACTGTTTCTGGCTGTATAGACCTGAACCCTGACTCTCTGCCCACCTTGAGATTCTGTGAACTACTTAACATTATTTAATCCTGTGCTGTACAGTAGGGTCACCATTAGTCACATGTGGCTATTTAAATTTAAATTAATTTTAAAAAATAAAATTTAAAATTCAGTTTCTCAATTACAAAAGCCACATTTCAAGTCTACAACAGCTACATGAAGCTAGTGGTACCTTGTTCGACAGCTCAGATACAGAACATTTCAGTCATCATGAAAAGTTCTACTGGATAGAGCTGCTTTTATCGATTTCTTTTACTGCTCAAACTAGCTAGAATTAGTTCTGTTGCTTGAACTAAGAACTCCAACTAATTTACTATGGTAAGGATTTGGGTCTTTATTTATTTATTTAGTTTTAAGAGCAATAGGAAATCAAAGAATTTTGTGTGTGTGTGTGTGTGTGAGAGAGAGAGAGAGAGAGAGAGAGAAACATGATCTGATTTCCATAACAAAAGGATCACTCTGGTTGCAGCAAAGAGAAGGGAAGGTAGAGGAAATCATAAGTTTAGCTGTAGTTCAGCATGGTCCTTTACCACTAGGGTTCAAGTTCCAATATTCACAGACAACAATTTTTGAACATTTGCCAAACTTGGCTTTAGAGATACGGAGGGAAGAAAGACATGTTTCATGATGGCAGTGAAGGCCTAAGCTGGTTGAGGAAACATTAAAAAAACATTAATGCTAATCAAACTACAGTAAAGGAGAGAGTCCAAGATAGGGGGCTTGTATATGTACTCCAATGGCTCCCCATGTGAGTAGTACTTGGGGAGGGGGAGATAACGAAGGCTTACGATTTCAGCTTTCCAAGTCCAGGATCTGGTTTGGATTTGTTCAGTGCACATATTAATCAGACTCAGAAGACAAAGATGAATTGGCAAGGTGTCAATTTGTTAATTTACAACTTTAAATTCAAAAATGTAGGGCCGGCCTGGTGGCGCACTGTACAGTGCGCCGCTTGGGAGCGCGGTGGTGCTCCCGCCGAGGGTTCGGATCCCACATACAGACTGGTTCCTGCTCACTGGCTGAGCGAGGTGCGGATGCAGCGCCAAGGGTTGCGATCCCGTTGCCGGTCCCGGTCCGGTACGGGCGCAACACTGAGGGTTGCGATCCGTTGCCAGACACGAAAAAAGACAAAAAAGGAAAAAAAAATTTAAAAATGTAATTTTCCAGCGACTGGGCTATTTGTGCCCACCGTCAAAGGCACCCTTATTCTGGAATCAAGAAACCTGAGAGGCCAAATTTGAAATCAAGAGTTTGGTGAGCACGAAATCAGAGAAAAGAGTTTAAGTGAGTCATGAGGCCATGGAGTAGCTTGATGAAGCACTCATAAACCTAGGACAGTGCCCTTTTCTGTGAATCCAGATTCATGTCTCTCTCCCTATGAATAAATACTGCCAAAATCTTGCCCAGTATTTGCTCTTTTTTTTTTTTTCTAACCTCCTTGCTTTACAGTTCCTTCTGTTTATGTATTCTAAGAATGGTTACGAATTATGAGCAACAGTATACCTTGTGGTGGTCCTTTCACATGGTAGTAATTATTATAACCATAGCCACAATGACTGGATTTGGACACATCTAGAGACTGTACTCTCAGCCAAGTTACTTCTACTGATGGTTGGCTGATGTCTTTCGTCGCATGCTTCCTTGGGAGAGAGAAACTGGCCCTGGATGTTTGGGATGGGGAGGGGTTCTGTCTCAATGAACGTGCTGATATGCTCTGAAGGATATCAAAAGTCATCTATCTCCTTTATCTTCTGTTATGTTTTCTCAAAAAAAAAAAAAAGAAAAAAAAAAGAAAGAAAAGTCATCTCCTTTTAAAAAACGTGTTTCTGACACACGCTTCTCATGACTACTCTTTACTTTATGTACTCTGGTCACACTTCCCGTCATATCTTCTGTAATAACTCTTTGTTGTGATTTGTAAACTTGTTGCCCGCACGGCGGACCCCCTCCTACACTAAGCTGTAAGGATCTCTGGGACCCATACCAAGTCTTATGTGTCTTGAATTCATGCTTAACACACGCCTAGAACACAGCAGTTGCTTGGTATCTATTGACTGAATGAGTGAGGGAAAGCTTCATGACTTGGTGAATGGGACAAAGGTGTCCTGGGAGAGTAAGAGAAGAAGCCGTCAAAGTGCTCTAGCTTCGGTAAACGAAGGAGAGAAATTTTCGGAGACAAACACCAGCCCAGAGAATTGCTGAGGGACAACTTGCTCCGGTGACCAAGAAAAGTCAAAGATCTTGGAAACTGGTCTTCCCTACCTGAGCAGGGGGCGGGTAGGCGTAGGGCTGGAACACCCAGATTTACGAAGAACCAACCCCGCCCCTGGGAGGGGAGGAGCTGGGCCTAGGACACGTGACTCCGCCGTATCCTGGCAACCACAGCCTCACCCGCAGCTTCCCGGCGCTCTGCTCCTCACTTCCTCACCCTGCTGCGCTCCACTCGACCAATCGACGCACAGAACATCGCCGGGTCGGACGGTAGTTGGAGGGCTCCCTGGCTCCATCACTCAGAGGCTCCGCCCCTCCCCATTTCTTCCTGGCTGTCTGCTACAGAACTGAACCGAGCGTTTGCAGGCTGCTGGGCGGGCGAATGCGGTAGGTGAGGAGAGGCCGGGCTGCCCCGCGTTTTGTATCCCCCACTCAGGCCCGACCCCGGAATACCACAGAGAGGCATTGGGACCTGATTCAATCCGCCCAGTTCGTCCTTGAGGCCGGAGCGACTCAGGCCTGGGGTGTGGACGCCGTGGGGGTTGGGGGTTGGGGGGCGTGGGCTCCAGTGTGAGCAAAGTTTTGGTTTTAGGTTTGGGTGGGTTCAGACGACTTCTATGGGGGTTCATTGTAGCCCCTGGCATCAGTTCACCCAGGGCCGCTGTGACATATCTGTCCCTTTTACTTCCGGGCCTTTGCGCTGGCTTGGCTCTGTCTCCTGGAATTATTCAGACGTTACCTTAAGCAACCTTTCTGATCTCTAAGGCTCCTCTTAAAAAAAGATGTCGACCTATCCTGTAAGGCTGTATAGTTATGAAAGCCCCAGGCTCCAGGCAATGTGCGTAGCCCATCCCACCTATCCCTGCTGGGGCGCTTTCATCACATAAGTGTTTTCTAAACACACGGAGTGGTATTGGGTAAAAACATGGATCTTGGAGCAGCACAGGTCTGGTTTCCAGTCACCATATATCAGTAATGTGCCCTTGAACAAGTTACCCTTCTGAACCTCAGTTTCTTTGTAAAATGATGAAAATGCCTGTCTTTCAGTGTTTCTGACTATTGAAATAAGAACATGAGGTATATAGCCCAGCTCCTACAAATAATGAGCACATGTCCCTTGCATCGTGACAGTACTCTCTGACAGACTTTTTTTTTTTTTTTCCTTTTTGTCTTTTTTCGTGACCGGTAACGGGATCGCAACCCTCAGTGTCGCGCCCGTACCGCGACCGGCAACGGGATCGCAACCCTCGGTGTTGCGCCCGCACCACGCTCAACCAGTGAGCGGACCGGTCTCTATATGGGATCCCAACCCTCGGTGGGAGCGCCGCCCTCTACTGAGTGCGCCACCAGGCCGGCCCTCTGACAGACTTTTTTCACCAAGCAGTACTTTTACTATCTTCCTGTATATGGAACTGTGCAAGACCTCCAGTCTGTGCCCTACTGAAGATGGAATTTAATTCTCTGAGGGTAGAGCAGTTGCATTTTGGAGATCTTTGGAGAAAAGTGCTGGCTGGTTTTTCACACTGGAATTGTCCTAGAAATTCCTTTTTGTGTGTGTCTGTGGTAAAATATATATGATGTAAAATTTACCAGTTTAACAATTTTTGTACAGTTCAGTGGTATTCACGTTGTGCAACTGTAACCACCATCTATAACCAGATTTTTTTCATTTTCTCATCATCTTCCCAAACTGAAACTCTGTTTTCATTAAACAATAACTTCCCATTTCTCCCTCTCCCCAGTGACCACCATTCTATTTTCTGTCTATGAATTTGACTGTTCTAGGTACCTCATATTAGTGAAATCATACAATATTTGTCCTTTTGTGTTTGGCTTCTGGCAATCCCATTTTTAAAGACAAACTTCATTATGGAAACAACTTGAAAGCAGAGCTAGAAGAGGAACCCAAATGTCCTTTGTCACCTTTTTATCTGTAACATGAATCTGATAGAAGACACTTTTAAGTTTTATTAAAAGAAACTTCTTAAGGGCCAAGCCCGTGGCGCACTTGGGAGGGTGCGGTGTGGGGAGCACAGCAGCACTCCCGCCACGGGTTTGGATCCTATATGGGGATACCGCCACGGGTTTGGATCCTATATAGGGATGACCGGTGCGCTCACAGTGCTCACTGGCTGAGCGTGGTGCAGCCGGTCTCAAAAAGGACTAAAAAAAAAAAAGAAAGAAAAAGAAACTTCTTAAAAGCCTATTATCTTTCTTCAATGGGTAAACAAATATTCAAGTGCCACATATTTATATTGTATTCTTAAAGCCAGTTTTTACTCACATGAGCTTCTGTTTTCTAGCCCAGATTCCAAATGAAAATGTTTGAGAGTGTTGACTCTACAGCTGCAAGATCTGGCCAAGATCTCTGGGCTGAAATTTGTTCCTGTATTCCAAATTCTGACCAAGAAGATGATGCCAACAATGCTTTTTCAGACTCTTTTGTGGATTCTTACCCTGAGGGTGAAGGCCAGAGGGAGGTTGCAGATTTTGCTGTCCAGCCAACAATAAAGCCTTGGGCTCCCATGCAGGATTCAGAAGTGTATTTAGCATCTCTAGGTAAGTTAGATGACTCTTTTTAAAAATAAGGAAAGGGCCGAGCCCTTGGCGCACTTGGTAGAGTGTAGCGCTGGGAGCGCAGGATGGCCGGTGTGCTCACTGGCTGAGTGCGGTGCGGCTGTTCTCAAAAAGGACAAAAATCAAAAAATAAATAAAATAAAATAAATAAAAATCAGAAGCTGGTGGTTTTAGAGAAGCACATTGAAGTTTTGTTACATTAAACCCTGTTTTCCATTCTTTTTTGGTCCTTGACACATGAATCTGTTAGATGTAATTCTAGGGTGTGTTTCAGGTTGGGTTTTGGAAAGGAGCCCCCCTTTCCTTGCATATCCTTTAAAAAAGTTTCTGTTTTCCTGCCTCTGACCATTTCATCTAAATTCTGGTTTATTTCTTGGCATACTTTAGAACCCTCTTGCCTACTATCGGTTGCCCATATATTCAGATAACTCAAAAATGTTAAACCTTATGCCATCCTGAAAGAAAAGGTCATGGCCCCAGAGCTACATGTGGAATTCTGATGCTAGGTTTGAAAAACTGTTATATTAAATAGATTGATTGTTGGGAATGGGAACATGTTGCATAAGATTCATTCTGCCTCTTGTTAGCCATTTAATTGTTTTACTGTTTCCTGAACACATTTTCAGTGCCCTGTCCTGTGGCCACATTGTAAGTGTCTAGAGAGACTCCAAACACAGGAAAGAGTGAAAGGCCACATTGTAAGTGTCTAGAGAGACTCCAAACACAGGAAAGAGTGAAAGGCCACATTGTAAGTGTCTAGAGAGACTCCAAACACAGGAAAGAGTGAAAGGCCACATTGTAAGTGTCTAGAGAGACTCCAAACACAGGAAAGAGTGAAAGGCCACATTGTAAGTGTCTAGAGAGACTCCAAACACAGGAAAGAGTGAAAGGCCACATTGTAAGTGTCTAGAGAGACTCCAAACACAGGAAAGAGTGAAAGGCCACATTGTAAGTGTCTAGAGAGACTCCAAACACATTGTCCCAGGCTAGATGAAAAAGAAATATCAGTCTAAGGCAGTGATTGCCAGTCTTTGGAATTGTGGTATCCTTTTTACTGTAGAACATTCATGAAACCCATCCATTTGGTCACAGAACCAAACCTGGGAATAATTATTTGAGGAAGGAAAGGCAATTCAGGAAGAAGGAGCTTTTGAGGAGGGACAGAGAGAAGAGTTCGAAGAGAGCTTTTGATTGCTAAGAAATATCTTGGGAAAACAAAAGGAATTTTGATAATGATGTACTGGAAGAAAAAGATGTAAGAAAAACACAGGTGGAATGATGGAAAATGAGAAAGATGAGGGAGTAATGTGAAATTTGACAGGAAGCCACCAAAGATAGGATAGTAATGCTTGCAGCCATGGCCAAGGGGGTTGAAAAGTCTGTTTGTGGTAGCAAGAGCATCTGTTTAATGATGAAAAGGAGAAGGAACAGTCTGAGGAAGCTAAAGGACCAGATGCTTTGGCTTGTTGGTGCTGTGTGACCAGGGTTTATAAGAAACTTTCATGGAGATTATGATGATTTTGATAGGTGAAGATTGGTTTGGAAAGTTAAAATTCCACTGATCTTTTCTAAAACAAGATGATAATTAAAATTTTCTTCTCTGAGGAAAATAGGAGCCATGTCTGTTCCCTGTGGCAGGGACTGGGAGACAATGGCATACAGATTTGAAGTATGTATTAGCACCTGTTTCTGCCTGCCCTATTGAGGTCGCACCTTATCAGGGATTCAGCATGCTCAGAGAGGGTAGGGCCTTTTCCAGCCCATTAGAGTAACTTCCTTCTTGACAATCAAGGCCGAACAACATGAAAATTATTTTTATTGCCAAATAAACCTATATCAAAAAGAATCCACTGGTAAGAGCAACAATTAAAAACTTAGCCCATTAAGCATGAGATATGCATAACCCTTTCTACATTCAT